TCTAGGTTTTTAGGTAGGGGAAGCTAATTTAATTTCCTTCGGTAACTTAGTTAGATCATATGAACGAATTAAATGTGAAATTTGATGATAGGAGAAACTAATTTAATTTTTCTTAACTTAGTGGACATTTTCTAATGGATTAAATGTTAATGATTTGTACTTTTGGAATTTGTATAGAAATTTGGAATTGTTGAACTCAATATTGGAAAATGGAATCGAATGTTGGTTCTGAATTCGATTTAGATTTTTTCATGAATTGATAAAGTTTATGCATATTGGTTGAATTGGTTTTTATTTTGAAAGATAATTAGATTTAGTTTGATTGAGGTTTTTAAAATAGAGTATTTGATAGATTACGCAACAGTTTTGGGAATTGAAGATCTACCTAGTTGATTTAAGATAATATTAAAAGTGCTTAAATTTCATTCACTCAGTGCTTTTAATAATTTGTCTAGCGGATTTAGGACACTATTAAGGGTTCAATTGTTCAATTCTAGGTAAATTTCGTTAAGCGAAAAATGCAATAAATGAATGATGAAACTTGTTACGTATTCCAACTTAATTGTTTTAATTTCGCTTAGCGGCAAAAAAGAATGAAAAAAGAACGAATTTTTTTTACTTTTTTTAAGGCTTTAAAAACTGTTTCTTGAACTAATTAAATATTATTTTTTTATCTTTCTATTAAAAAATTTAAATTAAATGCTAAGTTAATTATATGATATTTTTTGATAAATGAATATTTTGAATTATGTTGAATTAAATTATACAGTTGTGAATGATTAACTGAGAAATAGTTTTGTGAACTATGGTATGATAAACTTATGTTAAAAGTTAATATAATATTATGATAAAGTCTAACTCTTTTTCTTTTTTTCTCTTTTTGGACAAAAAGTCATTTTTGTTATCTTTTATCTCATCTGAGATAGATAAAAAGTCAAATTTTTTTTATAGATCAAACGTATCATTTATTTGATCCGATAAATTTTATTAAAAATAATTTCTTAAAAATCTTATATTATGTAATATGATATGATTTAAATATTTATTAGTATACAATATATTTTCAAAAGTAATTATTTTGTTCATCCTTTATCCATCATGATTTCTTTACTTAAATAATAGTCTATTAATAGGGTTCATTATTAAACAACAACAATATTTTCTGAAACAGTATTCGTCTAACTACTATTTTACTTGTATGATGAGTTATCACAACCTAATTTTCCTAAACTGTTTTAAAGAGTTATCAATCTATATTGGTGTGATAAATATTCTGTAAATACCTGAGTGAATTCCTTTTAAGTCTTGAGTAATGCTTAAATCCTCGCATAACTTTTCATAACCTAATTTACCTAAACTTTTTTTAACCGAAAAAACAAGTATTATACTTTGTTTCTAAGGAATATTTAGGAATAATTTGGTTGGCTTGAATGAGGAAATTAGAGGTATGAATGTGGGCTGAGTGGTCCCAAAAGAACAATCATCTGAGTTGGGCCCATGGGTTCTGCCACACAAACCCAAAATAGAGTGAAGGATTTTGCAAAGTGCTACTTGTCCCTTTGGCATTGTTTCCTCATACAAAGAAAGTTTACACCATTCCTTTGGCTCCTATCTCCTCTAGTCTTCTTACTTTCCTTTTACCTTCCCTTTTTACTTTTCTTTTTTGCTTTCTCTAAATAGTGATGGTGTATGTATTTAGGACTCTGTCCTTTACAATAATAACAAAATGCTGCTTCAGAAAAGAGTAGTGGGTGTGATTCATTGTACTTGGATAAACAAAGATTAATTTAATCAACAATCATTAACCCAAAAGCTTTTTATGAAAGAGAATAATAATTAAGACAAATGCTAACATGCATTTGTTATTAAAGTAATATTAATTCTGGATATAAAAATAAAAAAATCTTTAATATCTTGAATATATATATATATATATATATATATATATATATATATATATAATATGAGAATTATTAATTAGGAAGGTGTTGCAAGAGGAATTATAATTAGTATTTTTTAAATGTGTTGTGCAGCCAAGAGGCATCATGACGATTAAATGGCTTTTACTTTCTATGCCCACTACTTGATTATCAAGATTATACACCTGTCTCTAAAACAAGACAAATTGTATGGGTGGCGCAAGGAAATAATTTAAATATTAAATTAACATCTATTTAGAAACAATGATAGAATTTCAACATTACAATGTCGTAAGAAAGGATAATATATATATATATATATATATATATATATATATATATATATATATATATATATATATATATATTCTCTAGAAGTAGATTTTCGTTAAAGAAAAAAATAAAGAAATGAATATCAAAATTATAAAGACATATATATAAATTATAAAAATTTGAGTCAACTTTTACGGAGATTTATTATTATATATATCATTTTCTTTTAATTAGTTGAGATAATTTTTTAAGGATAAATTATAATTAACTGTAAGAATAACATCTTACAAAATTGCATTTCATTTTAAATATATATATATATATATATATATATATATATATATTAAAATATTTTGTAATTATTGTTATACCTATATATAGATATGTAATATTAATATTCTTATACCACAAGCTACTCTCAACAAGCATGGCATATATACTTGAAAACTCTATAATTCTAACAGTAATTTGATCTAGCTTAATAACTTCCTGCAGCATATATAACCCTAGCTTTTGAAGGAAAAAAAATTGAAAATTGGGATTAGGGAAGTTGATAAATTTTAACAAAAATAGAAGAAAATGAATAAAGAAACAAAAGAAGAAGCTATGTCCCCACACACTACTACTAGCTATTGATGAGATACGTGAGTGAAAATAGAGATACTAAATATCATCTTTTGTGGATGGAGAACTTCAAAACTTTATCAAAAGTACATAAAATAGTCACACTGTCTCATATCCAACTTCCAAGTTATCCATTAATTTGGAAAATTTCACAATCTATTAGGATGATATCACTTAATTATATGGATACAAATCACTTAATTCTAAATTTTGTGTCCGCTTTTTTAATTGACTTATTAATTTAATGATGTGGAAACTTTTTATTAGACATACGTGATTTGTATTCGTCTTGTATACGTATTTTTGTGTGTAGTTGTAGCCGTATTGCATAAAGTCTTACGAAGTACACATATCTTAGCAAATATTTGATGCGTATATGTTTGTTGTCTTTGAAGGTTAATAAGCTCTCGTGTGTCCTTATCTTTAGGTTTTGATTGACTTATAGTAATAGAGAAGGAAATACAAAAAAAAAAAATTAATTAAGTTTTTTTATAAGTTAAAATTATTTTCTATATAGATAAACATTATATACTAAAAAATTTAAATTGACATTATTTTTACTAATTGATTAAAATATAATCTAATATTAACATTCATATATATATATATATATATATATATATATATATATATATATATATATATATATATATATATATATATATATATATATATTCAAGTGATTATGTATTCAACCTCTCTTCTATCTCACTCTCATACTACTTTTCTTTATTTTAACGTTATTAATCATTTTCTCTTTTTTACTTTATTTTTCTCTCTTCGTCCCTTACCTACGGACAAACATGACTGTACTTTAGCAATTTTCATGTACAAATTAAGGCATATAAAAATTATAATTAGACTCTTTAAGTTACTAATAATAAGTGGTTCATTTAGAAAACCATTATTGTATCGTTAAAAGTTAAGAATGATTATTTGTTACTTTATCTTCACAAAAGGTAATTATTTTTATGAATAGTTTATATATAATAATAATAATAATAATAATAATAATAATAATAAAGTTATAGTTGAGTTTAAAGCAAAAGGATTAAGCAGTAAATGTGACCTAATTCCATGAAGTGAGGGATTAGTTATTAATTTATTAAAATGTGATTAAATTGCATGTTACTAGTCAGCATGAATCTGCGAAAAGATTCATAGGCATACATGATATAAATGTGCATGTTTAGATGGTTGTTTAATAAGTCCCACCCATGGTTTGGAGAGTGTAAACGGGATTTCATACATAAATGTTTATATATTATTTGGCAAAATTAGTTGTCTTTAGCGTGTGTATGGACATATGATAAAAAGAAAAAAGAAAAAGAGAGAGAGATTAAAATAGAACATTTTACTGAAAAGGCAAGTCTTTATTATATTCAAAATACATAACTCATTCAATGTATAGTTTTTAAAATAAGTTAAAGCCTTTTAATAAAGTGCTTAATACTTCCAACACGTTTCAGTAAACTTTTCCACAAGTATTTTAGTAAAAGAAAATAAGAAAACAATTAAATTTATATATAATATAAAAGTTATTTAAAAAATATAAAAATTAGTTCATTCAATGTCTTTTTTAAGTAATTTAAAATATTTAATAAAGTAATACTTGCATATCTAATGTCACGGAGACAATAAAAAAATCCTTAATAACTATCGTTAAGTCTGAACATAATTTTGGGTCCCAGATAATGACTTCCATAAAAATAAACCACAAAAAATGTTACTTTTGCTTTGGGGCCTAACTATGATTTGCAAACTATAATGCAAATACACTAATAATCATTCAAAGTCACATTAGCTTACCCGGGTTATCATGTAACTTTGCATTGAAAATATTAATATTAATAATATGCCTAAACAGATTACTGATAAATTAATTAAATGCATTAAATGATTAGTGTGACCTTTCATAATATTTCTTCAATGTACAATGATGAGTCAGAATCTAAAATTTTAAAATCTGGTTGTAAGACAGCATGAAAACTTTATGTCTAATTGAAGTAGAAGAAACAAACAAATGATCATTAATCAAGTCTGATTAAGTGGAAGACAGAAGAAACACAAGATACAAAGTGAAAAGCCAACACATGAAAAAGGAACACAAGTAGCTTTTCCTACATACAAATTCTGATCTCTCATTTTTTCCTTACTAAAACTCACCTTTTTCAACCCCCCAATTCACTCCAAAAATGTTTCCATGACATCCGGGTACATACCTCCTTCTGAATTCCTATACTCCACACCTTGTTGATGGTGGTGATCCATTGAGGTGGATGAAGATGATGAGGGCACTCTTGCAGGTAGAGTGAAGCTCCTCTTGAACTTGTCCATTTTCCTTGCATCATCTTGGTGATTATCCAAGCTCAAGAACTCATTTGGGTTGGTTGCACTAGCATTTTGCATATTGGAGGCCTCTGAATTGGGATTTTGACTAAGGGGGTGATGCTGACTTTGATCGCCTGGTTTGCTCCCCAAGGTATCAGGATTGAACAAAAGCTTAGCATCATCTGTTCTTCCAGTGAGAGCATTGAAGAAAGACAAGCCATTGGGCCATTTTATGTCGTTTTCATGCTCCCCCATTATGTCCTCTATTCTTGCACTCTCAGATGATGCATGAGGAATGAGAAACATGTTCGCCTCATCTTTAGGGAACCCAAGCCTAGCTGCATGTTGTTGAAAATTCGGTGAGGATAACATGGAGGTGGCAGAAGTAAGTGGTCTCTGACCCCAGTTGAAGAGTGGAGGTGGCCTAATTGGAATGGTAGATGGTTTTGAAGGAACAGAAGTAGAAGAGGAAGAGTTCCTTGTTGAAGAGAAGAGTTGGGAGAGATAGAAACCAGATTGGTAGCCAAGGGACTCAAAAGTGTGTCTCATTCTAAGCACAAAATGGAGGTCTTCAGGTATCTGAAAATAGAACCAAAAATATCAAACATTTGATATTTTTCAGGGAGCTCTTCTATCAGATGAAAATAGTTAGCCAAGTAAATTTAAACTGTATTTAAAACTAATGAAAACTTAAATGAAATAAAAACAAATTTTGAAGGAGAAAAAGTTAAGCTCACAATCTTGCAAGAACCAAGTTGGAGAAGGCCATGCCCAGCTTGAATTACAGCTATGGTCTGGTCATGAAACAAGCAAATAAAATTGGGTATAAAAGTTTAAAACAAAAACTGTTGAGACCAGTAATAACAACAAAAACCAAACAAAACCAACAATGATTCTGTTCTGACCTGAATGCCTGACTCAAACTGGTCTGTCCACTCAGGAGGAAGCTGCAATTAATGGCATCACAAAAGGAGGTTCAGTCAATCAATCACCAAACCAACAGCTCCACATAATAACCACCAGAAAAAACAAAACATACAACTAGTTGAAATGCAAATACTATTGTCCAAATCTACATATACGTTTATATTCCAAATAAACAAAAAGGAAAAAAAATCAGAGAGAAGTTGAGAATATGCATACATACAGCATCAAAGGAGCTCTGCCAATAGTTGGAGATATTCGGTTCACATTCTGTGGGCTCTTTAAAGACCCACTTGTGGCACTTATCAGATGCAACTTTCCCCATCAACCTGTTCCAAAATCCAAATCCACCCAATCATAACAAAGTTCAGAGGAGGGAAAGAAACCATGCTTGTGCATAAGTAACTCCCTAGTCCATCCACATGGTATTGGATATTGAACAAGATTTCAGAGAGAGAAAGAAGTAGAAAAAAAAAAAAAAAAAAAAAAAAAAAAAAAAAAACCACAACATAACAAACACCTACCCAGTACCCACCCTTCTCCATAATTATACAACTGAATGGACATTTTGCTGAAGGCCTTTCTCACAGGATCCTCTCCATCAATATTCCCTCGGCAGAAACCATCTTCCCACATCAACATCCTTCAAAACACAAACAAAGACCAACCTTTAAATAAACAGCTACAAAAACCAAGTTAAAGTAGCCACTTGAAAAGAGAGAGGAATAAGCTTACAAGCTACCGTTGTCATCTCCAACCTTGCAGCCATTACTACCTCGAACTCTCCTGCAAGAAATGGAGAAGACCCAGTTGATGATGGAAGGTAGAGTTAGAGAGAGAATGGAAAAGTAAGAAGAACAGCATGACATACGGGCGAGGACGAATGGTCCAGAAGACAGAGTAAGTCCAGTCTGAGTTGAGACAGACTCTTTTGAGGGCCTCATGAAGGGCCATCATCCCAACAGCTTCTTTGCTCCTATCTGATGCTCCTGAGCCCACCATATCTCCCTCTATATCTCTCACTATGCACTTTTTTCCTTTCACTTCACAATTACACACACAAACACACAGCACGCTTTTCTCTTCTTCTAAAAATGTTTTTGATCTGAGCAAGTCTACAATGCTTTGCTTAACAACCACAGAGAATATTGATTCCTCGTCTCTCTCTCTCCTTCTCTGGAGTTGCGACCATGTTTGTTGGTTTGTGTGTATATTTATTTGGCTAAGGTAAGGCCTAAGGGCTCTTTATCTTACTCACTCGGCTTTTTGTTTGAACCTAAGGAGCGAGCTAGTTTGTTACTTTGACATAAAGCAGTAAAAGAGGAGAGGGTGTAGGGAAGAGGTGCCTTTTTTTTTTTTCTCTGCTCAGACTTAACCAACCTTCCATCTTAAAAGAAACTGAAGAAAGAAAACAAAAATTCTAAATAGTTTTCTTGTTCATTTTCTTTTTAATTTCATTCCATTAATATTTTTAATTTTAATTTTATAAATAAGTTCACTGTTTTTTTTCTTTTCCCAATATTACTAAATTCTTTCAGACATGATGCTTATTATAGTAACATTACCGATTATATAACATTAGCGTAGTTAATATAGGTTAATGTTTGAGAATCCAAAATCATTAGATAATTCAAAATGTAGTGTTATTTTAAGTTGTCTAATTATTATAATGTTATATCAACACGCAACTACGAATTAACAAGTATGATTATTTTACATTTTCATTAAATAATTCAATAATATTATAGAAAAGATAATATTAAAAAAGATAAAATAAATTAATATTATAATAATAATAAGATGAAATTAAAAATAATTAAAAAATATTAGAATACAAAAACCTATTTAAAAAAATGAAATAAAATAAAAAATATTTTTAAAATAAAAATGTTTTTAAATAATAATAATAATTAAATAATTTTATGATTAAAAAAATATTCATAAATAAATTTCTTTTAGAAAAAATGAGATATGAGTAATTTTAGAAAATATACTCTCCTCTAAGTTTATTATTCTTTTTCTTCTCATTATTAAAAAATATAAAATCAATTTTGTGGAATCTAATAAAAAAAGACACATCTTTAGTTTATATGAAAAAAATATATTTTATTATTTATTTTCTTACACTAGTTATTTTACATTTTCCCAAAATACGGATACTTATTTTTAAATATATATATATGTGTGTGTGTGTGTATAACCATAAAATGATTTTTTTTTTATCACGGTTAAATTCATTATTAAACTTATATTTTAATAATAAAACGGTCCATAAAATTTAACAGCTTATTATGATATTTTTTGTGTGATGTATTTAATTAAGAATGAAAATGATTAAATGTGAGGTATTTAATTAAGGATCAAAATAATTAGTCATTTATTTTATTTTTCGGGATGGAATGGTACATTTTTATCCGTGGAAAACTGTGGGGACAGATTTTATCTTCTATTCCTGTCTCTTTCTGTGTCTTCTTTACAAGCACCACAACAAAGAGGAAAGTAAAAACAAAAATCAGGGTTATCCCTTGCCCTGTTTCATATTTTTACAGAATCATACCATTTATCTATTGCATGGTGCAAACATATTATTTGCATGATTTTTGTTGAATAATTTTTCATATTATTTTCGACTAGGCTAAGCTCAATCCATATTATAGTAGGTGATGACTTTGACCTAAGTAATGTATCACTATAATTCATTCAGAGAGGGTTAGGTTTTAGTGAGTGGATTTTAATTAATAAAACTGAATTGCTATTAAATCATTAACCATATTTTTCTTTCATGTATCACTTAGCCAAACACGCTATAAACTTGAAAAAACTAAATCATAAATACATCTAGAAAATAAAAATATGAATGAAACATTGCAATAAAAATAATTTTTAACTATCTTATTTAAAATTGATTATAAAGAAATGTAGAAAAAGTGACTAATAAATTTATAATTTTAAAATAAGTTTTATCCATTAGAAAATTACCTCTAATATTGATTTTATTATAATTAATGGAGAAAAGATTTTATAATATTTTCCTAAATATATTTTCCTCTTTGTAAAACATATCTTTCCTTCTATAAAATAATTCTTCTTCTTCTCTTCTTAACATTCTCTACCTCTTTTCCTCCCTTGAGTTGTTGTTGTTCATTGCAATCTTCATCTTTGTCCACTTGGTCGCACCTTTTATAGTGTCCTTACATTTTACATCTTCCATTGTGCCCAATGTTACATTTTCGCATCGTCCATCACACTCTTTGTCACATCCTCATGCCCTTTATCATATTCTCACGTCCCGGTGCCCTTTATCGTATCCTCACTATTAGACAAATGACATCTAGAGAGGGGTGAATAGATGCACAAACTAAATTAGATGCCAAATTAAAAATTATTTAATTTAAGATGTCAAATAATTTGTTAATTCAATTTTAATTATCAGATAAAATACAGATATAGCAGAAGTGATATAATCAGAGAGATAAAGGGAAGAAAATAAGTAGATGTTAGCACAGAGGTATAAAGAAGAAAAAAACATACTGAAATTTATACTGGCTCGGATACAGTCAACCCTACATCCAGTTCCCAATCACCTCTAACACAAGAGTGACCCCAATTCACTATCTTTAAAATTCAGTTTACAAATTACAATCAACTAAGCAGAGGAACTAGTAAATAGTAAACTAATTAAAAAGACAATCACCTCCTTAAAAACCCACTAAGGATGAACACCTCCCTAGAATCCAACTCGGGATGAAAAACACCTCTTTTGCAACCAATACACAAAGGATGAACACCTCCCTAGAATCACACTAGGGATGAACACCTCCACAAACAAATCAAAGGGATGAAAACACCTCCTTAGAATCCCCTAAGGATGAACACCTCCCCTGAAAAAATCAAGGGATGAACGACAACCACCTAAACCCTAAAAAGGGGATTTAACATCAATTTCCTAAGCCATAGAAAGGATGAAGGCAATAAAATAAGAACAGTCACACCTGGGTAATGGAGACAACAAATTGTAGAAGCCTGTAGAATGCCAACTTCCAAGAACAAGTGTGATTAATAATGAAAGTGCAGAAGGTAGTAGAGAAAAGGGTTTTCTCAAAATGTGTAAAATATCTTTGTTGTCTTGCTCAAAATTCTTTTCTTAAAACTGAATGAATGTAAAATTGTATTTTCAAATTCTGTAATTGTGTATTTTTGGTTTTTCATCAAAACTCATTTAAATAGGAAAATAACATCAGAAAATAGTTGTTGGTCATTAATAATTTCGTAGAGAAAAATCAGGATGTATCCAAAAATATTTATTCTTCAAAAATGGATATATTTTTCAAATTTAAACTGTCATAATTGATTATGTTACCAGTATAATCGATTATGACAAAGAGAAAATCATTTTCCATTTCTAATGCATCATAATTGATTATGATAGTGAAAAATGTCATGTTACAAAATTTTATCACACTTGTGCTTTGGAGGCTTATGCATAATACAACCTCATCAACTTGTACCTCCATATCCAGTATTCTAAGACTCTATCTAGTCTTCAGGAATCATCTTGGGCTTGCTTGAGTCTTGAATGTTGTTGACTTGAATCATCATCAAAATCATCTCTTGGGAATGTAGGGACATGTTTCACATTTCCATCAATCTCTCCCTCAATGTTTTCAATCTCCCCCTTTTTGATGATGATCAAAGAAACACCTGAAATGAATTAAAATGTTTGACTCTATATAGTCAGCTCAAGATTAGCACAAATTTGCACAGTATAGTGTAGTACAGATTAACACAGATTTGTATCAAGTGTCAGAGTCTCTTAATCTCCCCCTAGATATATTAATAATAAGATTCCCCCTAACTCATATGAGCAAAGACTTCTCTTAACTCCCCCTATTTAATTCGGAGATAGAAATGAATTTCACACAGATTTTAATTCACAAAAAAATCTCCCCCTCTTTCATTAATAATAAAAGAATATTGTAAGAGTAAAAAAAAACTTCCCCTGTTTCACACAGATTAATATCGTCAAAATCTCTCTTTGTTTCATTGATAATTATGAAAAATATTGTAATAGAAATTGAGCACAAATTTGCACAGATTAGTACATAAATCAAGGTAGAGAAGATAATGCATCACAAAGTGTCATAAAGAAGAACATCATATTAAGGAGGCAATATCTAGGATACCCAAGGCAAATAAAGAGAGAGAAAGATAGGGGAATGAAATGATTGCAGAGATAATGGAATGGAGGCAACTTTCAAATTCAAATTCAAATTCACTCATATTCCAAATTTCAAATTCAAAAATCTAGTTCTAATTCAAATTCAAAAATCTCAAACTACAAAATTTTAAATTTCAAAAAAAAAACTCAAACTCGCAAAATTTCAAATTTCAAAAATCTCAAAACTTCAAATTTCAAACTTTAATAATTTCAAATTTTCATAAATTCAGATTTTCAAAATTCAATCTTTCAAAATTTTAAACTTTAATCATTTCAAATTTTCATAAATTTCATATTTTCAAAAATTCAAACTTTCAAATTTCAAACTTTAATAATTTCATATTTTCAAAAGTTTTCTATCATAATCAATTATCACAACACCTTCAAAATCAACATAATCGATTATGACAACAAGAAATTTCACTCTAGAAGGCAACAAAATCGATTATCACAGTACATACAAAAATAACATAATCAATTATGACAGCAAGAAATCATACTCTAGAAGTCAACATAATCAATTATCATAGTAGAAAATTATTTTGCGAGAATTTTATCATCTAGACATGTGTAAATGCTTTGACCATTTAGGCACCCATTCATATTTATCATTAGATATACCAAAATGCTTTATGTAACATCTATTTGATGTATGACATAATTTCATGCAATAAAAACATGTTGTTTTCTTTGAAAAGGTCTAAATGAGTTTCTTAAAGTTTTTGAAACTGGTTTCACATATGTTTTTCTTGACTCTTTCACAAAAATAGTTTTATAAGGTTCT